GGCGGAGAAACTCGCGTGCCTGTGACCGACGCGGCCCAGCGGCGGGCCAGCCGACAGAACCTAGCCAGACTGAGGACGACAGAGGGCTGTACACGCACTGCAGGGGACTGCAGTTCAGACGAGACTCGCAGACTGTTGGACCGTGATTCAGACAGGACAGGAGCCCGTGGAGAACTGCCACACGCAGAGGTAGGTGTTGGAAGTGTGTGCCGACGGGGACTGGGTGGGTGTGTTGAAGTGCCTTCTGCAGAGCGCTGTGATGGGAGCTGCTGGGTGGGAAACAGGCTTTAGCGATGTCGGTGCTGAGGTAGTCACTGGCCACCCTATCACCCGAGACATCAGGCGCGTGTACGCATTACGAATAATGTTATTACGGGTTATGTATGACGTGTCTATAAGATTATTTATCTTCATCGCAAAAACACGTTTCGTTCATGTAGCAGGTGTTTTCCAAATGTGTCCTAATTTGGAGCGTTGAAATGTCAAATTGACTCGAACAGCAATATGAAAGAGACATAGCCTAGGCAGTTTGAGTGGGATGTGTGATCGGATCACTGATAAGTGAAGAAAGGCGAAAGTTGAACTTAGTGCGAAGCCGAAGCTTCAGCCAGAAAAAAACATGCTCCTCGGGAATTTTGACATTAGGACGAGCACTGAGCAGTTATGTAGAGATCCAACAATTTTCATGGTATGTTCCATAGGAGGTGTTGATATTCAAGATGTGGCAGCAACTGTTGCTACGTGCCACTTGCTAGCCCTTCTTTACTGATTTAGTTATTGCAATGTATGTTGCAAGGTATATTGACTCGGCAGGATATCATCATCAATTTGAAGAATTAACATCCATTTCAAAACATTGCCTATTTTACCAGAAAAGTTCATAAGCGTCCATCAGATTCGTCATGAAGTAACTACCCCTATGTGAAATCAAGCGAGACCTTTTCCAAAGCAGCTTTCTATTACCTTCAGTATCGAGATCTTCTGTTAACCTTCATGTCTTTATTACACAAATCTCACCCGGCCTGTTCAATCGGTTTATATCGTGTCGGATGTGACGTAGAAGCTACATGACCTCCCGCCGGGTCATATGCATGCGAGCGTTTGATGCAATGCCATAGCAGAACCAGCGTAGACCGGTTGGCGGTGCTTGCGAAACCGCAGGTGCGTACGCGTCGGATGTGGCGCAACCGGGCGCCTCTGGCCTCCGCTGGCCGGCTCTGGAGCGGTGACTCACCCGCGCTGCCGCAACGACTCCCGGCGAGGACAATTCCTCGAGACATATCTGCACTTCTGTGGAAACGACTTAAATTAAGCATTCATAATGATGACAGGGCGAATCAAGTCAATTCACAAGTATTTTTGTAACCTTGCAGGCTGCATGCGTTGGTTAAATTGTCTTCGAGTTGATGCTCCCAAATAGATAACTTTTAAAGGTGTGCAGAGTATTAAACTGTTGTTCCAATCATTGTCATCTATTCTACCTTGTCAAATTCCCTGCTTTTATTTAAATCGTTGCTTTCATTTATTCGTGCTTCAGTGAAATTTAGTGAAAACCCTGTTAATTTATCAAATCAACAAAAAAAATAAACATGTTTTATTTATTCAAGCATCAAGTGTGCTGAACAAAATTGGCGTCGAGTTAGAATAATTGCTAATGCAAGGTCATTGGGCTTATTTCCCTTAAAATGGTGATAGGGGATCACGAATGAGACCAAGTTTCCTTGATTCATGGGAAACTGTAGAACTGTACATGTGCTAAGCCGAAATCAGTGGTGAGTCGCCTGGCTTTTACCTTTCGTTGACCATTGAAAGGATAAAAATAACGCTAAGCGATAAACCAAAGTTGGCCCGAAAGGAGGTAAATGCGAACCGCTCGCAAGACATAGACAATAGATACGTGAGTCTTATACTGTACTGGAAAGTTCCAGTTCTCATACAGCTTTGAATGCAAACAGTAAAACAATGGTTCATTAGTTGGAAATGGTCATAGTGTAGGTTATTGTACGCAGAAGGGTACAATTGTATTCTCTACCTTGAGTCCACCATATTGTTTAAGAATTTTTGGTTACAGCTTATCTTGCCATAAACCATGAATCGCATTTCTCCGTGCCCTGTCAGCCTCTTACCACAGAGGGTGATAGGTACTCATCCGTCACGCACCCGTAGTGGTGTTCCGCGAACTCGTACCGGCGGTGCTAGCTGCTGGCCTTGGCCGCCGCGTCGCAGTCGCCAGTCGTGCGGCGCAGTATATGTGCGCGGTGCGGCGACTGCAGCGCGTGCACGACGCAGTGGGCGCTAGCACCAGCGCGAGGCGCGGGCTGCTATTTACGAGGCGCTAGAGGTTCAAAGTGGCCACCGGCCAATAGTGGACCCGGTCTCACCAGTTCCAGAAGGCTCTGGTTCCTAGAAACAACATGCTACTTTGAAATACGACCGCAAGTCGTTTTGTTTAATTGCGGGAAATGTTAAAAATAGACAGTGTTGTAATAAAGCAAATTTATAGCGATGGCCGACCAGCATATCCTATGACTTGAGCCATTGTTTTTAAATACATTAGAGTCAAGTGTTGCATGAAACTGCTATAGCTTTTCCTTGACCAAGGAGCCCACGATTCCTCTAAATGCGCATCACTCTGAACGGCTTAGGCATGCCTGCAGCAAGCCGTCACTTTGATAAATGAATGTCCCCGAGCCGCTCAAAAACCGACAAAAATCACCGATCCTCCGCTGGAATGTTGCACGCACAGGAAAACAGGGCTGTTCAGCGGTGATTGGCTGCGGCCGCGGGCCGCCCACTTTTTCTGACTGAGCTGCGGAGGGCATGGCGGCACGGCGGCGCGGCGCGCCTGTTGCGCCACCACTGGTCACAGGGCTGACTCAGCCGCGAGGCGCGAGGCTAACTACCAGAGCCTTCCAGGAAAGGGGAGACACACGCCGCAAATAGGTCATCGACTGACGTGGGGGTGGCTCTCATAGAACTGTTGACCTCATTATTGAGGAGCAGTCTCTCATTCGATTGAAAATCTGGAGGTTGACAAACTGCAGTAAATTGGGAATTTGCCGATAGAGAGCTTGATAGGAATATAGAATATAGATAATATTTGATATCACACCTCTGCTTCATTAAATATTGTTGGATCTCCGGTGTACGTACCTACCTTTGAGAGTCTTTTTTATTTAAAAAAGAATAATTGCAGAGCGGTTAAAGTGAAGAACAAAAAAGGACTGTTAATATCCATCTAACAAACGATTCTATAGGTGGCCCTGCTCATATTTGTGCTGCAACGCATTTATTTCGTTATCACGTAACCACTCGGGAGTAATGCCAAGGCTCTGAGAAACAAATCCTACGAAAGCACAAAGTGCCGGCTAATACATACCCACAATCGCCGCCGCCGTGCTTAATTTTGTAATACTACTTCTCACGTGATCATTTTTATATGACTGGCATGCATGCTTAAACTGGATTATTTTGAAGACTGAAGTCAGCAGATCAGATTTGCCCAAAAAGACACGAGCTCAGGATGATACTGATTATCCCCATGGGCGGGCAGTCACGTGACAGTGGGCGCACCCTCCAAGTCGGGCCCTATCACGGTGATCGCTCGCCTAATCATAGTCGTAGAATTGGTAAAGAAACGTGATAAACACTAGTGGATGGGCTTTGAAACATCCAAGAGCCTTATTTTTATTCTTCAACATCAGGTTTAACAAGGCAAGCCTTGTCATTACTGAGGTTGCATTAAGTCATTGCATGGCTAGGCACTTGTTCGGAGCTCTTATCATTGGCACTGTCAAAAATCAGCATGGACTAATCGTTACCTTTTGAAAGAAATGGGAGCGTTGAGAATATACAAATCGATGTAGCTATTACATAATGCAACATTTTATCATAATGTAAGGCATGTGCAATAGCATGAAAACGGGCATAGCGTTTTGAGAAAAAAATGTGTGTGCGTGTTTTTTCTTTGCAAAAACGCATTTTTCCGTGAATACTTGTGTTTCGAGCGTAATGTCGGTTTTTAAATAAATTTGTTCTTTTGGTACCAATTCGCACCTACACATTTTAATGTACGGCATAGCTTGTCGTAGCTAATTATTCATTTGTAGAAATCATTATTTCTGCATATGTGCAACTTGTTAATTTATACCATAATGAAACCTCTATCAGGGACAGGGAAATCACAATACACAAAAGCGACTGGGGGAAAGTGCAAGTTTACCGTGAAATATGAATGTTTTTACGCGCTATGAGGAAACAAAGAGAACAAGTATATGGTTACATGGTATGATTCATTTTCAAACTGTATCCACCACGAAACTTAACGGGTCATGAGAAACCATCGCTCTTGACGTCAACTGATGGGCTCGATGTTATCGGGATAAGGTTGACGGTAAATTCTGGACAGTTATTGGTTATCTCCAACAGCACAAATGATCAAATTTTGCTTTTAAGAAAGTTTGAATGTCTTATGTATTCTAAATGCCACAGAATCGAAATATATTGAGGTCCATTTCCTGTTTTAATCTGACCTAAGTGTCATTGACATTGGTTTGAACTAAAAAACATTTTGGTCTCATTTCACTGGACGTCTGTAGCACGCCTTAGCAATACTTAACACTGCAGTTACCAAACAATAATGAAACAATTGTTTGAAATAATCAGAAGTGGATTGCGCTTTGATGGACCTGTTGGCCGGGTTTCGGCTTAAGTGCGCGGTTACAGTCGCCATGTTTCGAAACAACAACGTGCTGCCACAACACGGCGCAACGCACCATAAGCGGAGAGAGCTTTCGAAGTTGCGCAGTCACCTATAGGGAGAGGAGGAGGCACCCCTACCGCCGGAACTGGGAGCTTCCGAGCGGTACAGGTGTGTTGTGAAGCTGCGAAATCCCTCCTCTAGCCGCGCCGGGCCCCTCAGCAGAGGCTTTGCTGGCCATGTAAAAAACGCCGCACCGAGCCGGTTGGCGGCGCCGGCGGGCGTCACTGTTGCCGTCGGGCCTACTGCGCATGCGCGCGCCGATGACCTCGAGTGGCGACGGGCGCTGGTGAAGGGCGTCGGCGGCGCCCCTCGACCGTCAGTTGTGGTTCACGAGCTGAGTCGGACGGCAGCAGCAGAGCCGAGCTCCCGCTCCCTCCCTCCTGCAGCAGTGACCAGTCAGCTTGAGAAGCAAATCCCAACAACCACAATGGTAGGTGACTGGTGGGCTCACCGGGGCCAGGGGGTGAGCGATGGGGGCAGCGTCGGTAATTGCATCACAGGGTTCGTCGACCGTTTTTGCTTTCGCCGGCGCCGCCATGAGAAATCCGAGGCGACTTTCACGCCGGGTCGGGTGGCCGCCGCTCCCGTGCTGGGCGACGGCAGCCGGCTCTGACACGCATCGGTGGCGCTCGCTCGAGGTGCCGTCTTACCACCGTACACACCGCGTGGGAGCTGCTGGCTACCAGTGGCCGCGGTCTTCCTAGTCTGAACTGGAACGGTGGGGGTGCAACAGTAAAGACGGGTTGGGGCTGATTGTTATTGTTATTGTTCTTATTTGTATTTTGTTGTTACTTGGATGTCTTATTGCATAACTGTTACGGCTCAAATCATTATCGTCAATTGTATGCGCTTCTAATTTTATGCGATATCTTTTTTCACTGATGCATCTCACGGTTCAAAGTACTAGATAAACTTCATTCCGAAATTTGTTGAAAGTTAAACAACGCAATCGTAACTGTTTTCAATGTTGCTTATCACCGGCTCTATGTATTCTAGCTCAAAATTTTCCCATAGCTATACGACTGATATTCCACCAATAAAGCTTTTTTGTGTCGTCTGTTTCAATATAATCGTAATTCATTCGCTTTGTTTGGTCGTAAGACGGCCTTCGTAGAGTCGAGGGCTGTCTCAATGACATCATCTGTTGTACTTTCTGTCTAGATGCGGTCGGTTTATTTAAGACGTTTATCATTGGGACATGCTTACTTTGAAATTCATTGATGTCATTTCCAAACTTTGAACCTGAACGCTCGTTCATGACGTTCGAAAGTCACTCGACTTGAGCGATGGCCTCGCCTTGCAATGGCCAGCGGGCCGCCCCCGAACTCGAGGCGGGGGGCCATTGACGTCAATCCGTATCGGGCACTGCTATCGGTGCACCATCCGACCCTCCCTCCAGCAGGCACTGAGGTCACCCTGTCTGCTTACCACGCGGCTGACGTAAGCCGTGTGGTATCGCCTCCCAGCCGCAGAGCTCTCAGCTTATTTTTAGATTAAAGTGTAGCTGGGCTGGTGCGCAGTTGGCTCCCCCCGCCATCCCCCCGCCGCAGCGGTCTCTGGACGTGTGCTCCGTTGTGTTGGCAGATGTCGCAGACGGTCCCCAACTACGCCGGCGCCGGCGCTGGCTCCGAGCTGGGTAGTAGCCTGGCAGAGCTGGACTTTTCGATCCTGAGCGACTACCAGGTGCCGTCGCCGGGCAGTCTGCCGCAGCTGGAGCGTTCGCCGCCGCACCTGTTCGGCTCGCCGCGCCGCGAGCAGGCAGAGTTCGACTGCGGCTACGCCTCGCCGCCGTACGCCGGCGCGCCGCTCTCGCCGCCGCTGAAGCAGGAGCTGCCGCTCTCGCCGCCGCTGAAGCAGGAGCTGCCGACGGCCATCAAACAGGAGATCGAGTCGCCGTACGGCCTGGAGTCGTCCGACGAGTGCGGCTACGGACCGGCGCACTCGCCGCTCAGCGACGGCGGCTACTCGTCTGCCGGCGGCTCGCCGGGCTACCAGCCGGCCAGCCCGCCGCCCGAGGACCACCAGCTGCTGCGCCAGTGTCTCCGCGACACCACGCTGCAGCGCCAGCTCAACCGGCCCGCCTTCAGCCTCGACATGCTGTACGCCGCCGAGCAGCAGCAGCAGCAGCAGCAGCAGCAGCAGCAGCAGCAGCAGCAGGCCGGCAACTGGATGCTCGACCAGCTCGACTCCGTCTTTGATCTGGCTCTAGAACAGATCAGACAGGAGAAGAAGAGCGTGTGCCGCCTGCTCGGCATTTCTCCGGGTACGCTCACATTACTAGTTTTTAAATTACTGGTCGGACGTAATTACTAATTATATTGTAAAGTTAAAGAGTTCACACAATATCCCAGTCTCTTCTCAGTTTATATTCGCCAAATGTCAGAAACTGTTTTTAAAAAACTTTTTACGTCGATAGCTTATATAACGTAACAAACGAATTAACTCTCGTACTGTCTCCATCCTACTCCCTGAAGTCCTTTGTCCCGTACAGACCTGGATCCCACGAGCTCGGTCGAGCTCCGCCGAGTGGAATAACGAGTCTGTTTTGATCCCACGCCGTGATCCCCTAATGATCCCTCTGATCCGCTGGCGATCGCCGGCCGAGCGCCGGAAGCCGCGCCGCGCCCCGATCCGAGCTGCGCGCCGCTCCATGGCGCGTTACGTTACGCCACCACGCCGCTCGCCGTCACGGACCGCCGCTCCGTGACGCCGATGATTCACGGCTACCAAGCGAGGCGGCTGGTGTGACCAAAGTCACGCAGCGCGACCTGTCACCAACCACCTGTAGCTGGCAACCCCAGCGGGCCCCTCGGGCTAACGACATGCGCATTTTGCAGCGGCTAGTCGCGGGTCACAAACCTTCGTGACAGCCGGCGCTCGTTGCATTTTTGCATGCTCATGCATCATGCGTTGCGCCAGCTTGATGGCCGTATAAGGGCGCTATGTCGTCAGCCGAGCTGGGGCCACAAACCAGCCGGGGGCCCCGGGTAGAGTACGGAGGCGGCGGGCAGAGGGCCGGGGGCGACCGACCTTGGCTCCGCCGCCGAGCTGCGGCGCACCTTGGTTTTCTCCGAGCCCCTCCGGCGGCCGTGACGTCAATAGAGCCGCCGCGGCCGTGTGTTAATGGACTAATCTCGCCTTTACGGCCGCTCCGCACCGGCAAATTACTTTGACGGCGTCAGAGCCGCGGCGGCCGGCCATGGTCGTCCGCGGGGCTCGGGAGCGCGGCGACCGCCATGGTCGTCCGTGGGGGCTCGGGAGCTTGGCAGCGCCACCGTGGCGCCTGTGACGTCAGCGCGGTGAGCGGCCCCCGCAACGCCGCGGAGAGAGCCATGGGAGGGGGGGGCACCGCCAGATAGCGCGCCCTATCGCTAATGTCAGCTCCCTGCAGCCGAGGCCTTTGACGTCAGTGGCCGGGCGCTCGGCGAACCAGCGAGCTCTGAACTTCTACCGGCTGTCGGACCGATCCGCCCACGTCCCTGTCCCTCTCCGGTGACATTATACGGTGACATTTCAGTGCACGGCGTGGCCCGGGGTGCTGACAGCGCACCCGCTCTGTTTCAGACCCCATGGACTGGAGTCCGGAGAACGTGCGCGCCTGGGTGGCCTACATGTGCCAGCAGTTCGGTCTGCCCGCCTCGCAGATGGACTGGCTGCACCTGGACGGCCGGGCGTTCTGCTCGCTTGACGAGAACCAGTTCGTCATGTGCGCGCCCCAGGTGAGAACCCTTGTCACTCGCAGGTGTGCGATGCGCCGCGCACGGCGGATTATCTGGCATGTCGCTGTCCTCTGATATGACCTCGGCGCGGCGCGGCGGCCGGACCGGCGGCGGCGCCGGGATTTCCAGCCGGTCCGCTGACGTGTGTGTGTCTGTCTGTCTGTGTGTTGCAGGCGGGAGCGACCCTGTACGCCCAGCTGGAAGTGTGGCGCTCCTCGTGCGCCCCGCGGTCGGCCGGCGCTCCGCTGAGCGCCGCCGCCCCGTGGCCCGTCAAACAGGAGCCGCTCGACATGAGCCCGCCCCAGCCGGCCGAAGACGGAATGGATACGGACGGTGAGTCGCGCCTTCTCTCCCCCACCCCTCTGTCTCGCTCTCTGTCGCCCGTCCCTCTTTCCTCCTCCCCTCGACCTCACGCGGCCGGTGAGTCACACCGGTCGGCATTTCCTGAGCGCTGGAGTGGGGCCTCGGCGCCAGCCACCATGACTGGACGGGGCGGTCGGGGAGGGGGCAGTGCCTGGAACCAGAGGGGCAGGTGGGGTAATCGGGGGCGAGTGAAAGGAGAGCGTACTCCTACCGCGGGGAGCGCAGGTCGGCCGTAATCGCGGTCGGGTCGTGTTTGGACCGCAGGTCGGGAGGGGAGAGTGTTTACCGTCCGAATTTAACCTTCCCCGGGGCGGTGGGGGAAGGGACGGGCAACCTGCCGTCATGAGCGGGGCTGCTGACGTCACGGCTGCTTTGAGTATCGACCGCGGCGCCGCGGCGGCGCTGTGGCGAGAGATGACCCACTTCACTGGGTACTTTCACGGCTGGGGTCGGGCGGCCGGCCGGCGGCTGGGGACGGGCGGCTGGTGCGGCGGTGCCAGGCACGGCGCGGGGTGCGGCGCCGCTCGGCCCGAACGGACAATGGCCGGCGCCGCGCATTGTTACTGCCGAGGTCACCTGACGAGGGGGGCAGGGGGGGGGGGTGAGGCGTGTTCCCATGACTGCGGGTTGTTGCCGGCGGCGGAAGGGTGGGGCCGCTGATTGTGGCCCGCCGTTGCTGACTGGCTGGTTTCTCTCTCGGCAGATGAGGACGAGGACAAGGTGACCACCGGCCGCAGCGGCTCGCACATCCACCTGTGGCAGTTCCTGAAGGAGCTGCTGACGCAGCCGCAGCTGTACGGCTCGGCCATCCGCTGGATCGACCGCCAGAAGGGCATCTTCAAGATCGAGGACTCCGTGCGGGTGGCCAAGCTCTGGGGTAAGCGCAAGAACCGGCCGGCCATGAACTACGACAAGCTGAGCCGCTCGGTGCGCCAGTACTATAAGAAGGGCATCATGAAGAAGACTGAGCGCTCGCAGCGGCTGGTCTACCAGTTCTGCCACCCGTACAGCCTCTAGGTCCCAGGTGCAACGCTGGCGAGGCGGTAAGGCCTCACCGAGCCAGCACACCTCAACGTCCGTTTTGCGGGAGTTACTCGCAAAATACCGTGTATGCCGCTTTTATCGGCACATTTCTGTATAGGTTAAGGCTCTAGCTATAAGGTCGGCGGCTCCGTGGCCGGCACGCAGTCGCCGACGATAGGTTTTAAGGTAACTAGGGTTAAGGTTCGCAGTTAGCGGAAGGTAATTTCTTGTCTACACTGTTGTGGCGTTATGTGGAGTGTAATGATACCGTGTCACTGTATAAGTTGCAGGGAGAGGATGCGCGCTGCGCGGCTGTTGCTGCCGTAGGCGCGACGCCGCGCCGCCTCCTCGACACCTGACGACGTTTTAACCCCATTTATCTATGATAAATAGCCGATGTACGTTCTATGAACATCCTACGGCCGATCTGGCGGCGGCCGGCCGGCCTCTGTCGACCCGCGCGTCCCCCGGCCGTCCGCCGACCCGCCCGCTCCGCGCCCAGGCAGAGAGACAGACTCAGAGTGAAAGGTCGAGTGCATGCGGCCGGGCAGAGACCGGGGCCTGAGCTCGGCCCCGCTCCCTGCCCCCGCCAAGAATGTCTGAGAGAGTGCTGAGCGAAAGAGAGCGCACGCCAGAGGCCTCGGCCGGGGCGGTCGGGCGGCGCAGTCGGGAGAGTCGGGCTCGGCGAGTCGCCGTGCCGCGCGCCGCACCTTCGAGACTGCGGGCGCGGCGGGCCCCTCGAGAGGCGCCCGCGGCGCCCGCAGTTCGCGGAACGTTTCCGTGTAAATATGTACAGACACCGGGCCGGGTTAGGTGACCCGCGCCCAGCTGCGAGTGCAGCCGTGTGAACCCCGTGTGATGGCATGACTGTGATTGCAACGAGTGATAGCAGAGGCGAGCGACTGGCGAATGGTTGCCGTTTTATGACGTTGTTAAGCGGCGCGCGCTGTGGAGTATTTTATGAGGAGAAATCTCGTCCGTTGGTTACGGTTTTGGTGGGGACTCTGCGGCGCGTCGATGGCGCTGTCGGATGACGTGTTTGCTGTAGGCGGTGGCCGATCCTGTGCCGGTCGGGGGCTGACATCTCACCGCCGCTGTCTGGCGGTGGATGCTCGAGCCTCGCGCCGCGCGGCAGGCGGCGGTGTGCGCGGTAACCAAGTACCTGTCTGCTGTGCGCTCGCTGCCAATCTGGCTCTCCTTTCCACTAATCGCTGCTGCGATATGTTCAGGGGCTTCAGCCGGGGACCAGGCCGGTCCCGTGCCAGAGACTTGGGCTGGTGACTGTGGGGCTACTTCCAATTAGTCAACTTATCACCAGCTACAACAGCTGGTTGAGTTAGACGTTCTGTTGCTTTGCTTTTTGGCGTTTTTCATAATAAAACACGAAATGCTTCGGCGCAATCTGATGTTTATTTGTGGAGAAAGGTGACGAAATGCACTGTCTGACATATTCGAAATAAGACTATAGTCTATATAATCTGAATCTTCTCGCAACAACACACTGAAACTATCCAGTTAACTAGTGGCAGAGAAAATACGAATTGAACATTTTTGAAATGTCGATGCTTATGAGATGACATGTAAATCATCTTGCATAAGCACACATCGATTCAGGGTGGAGTGCTACAAATGAGCAGCATTTAATAGACAAGTAGATACAGGGCAAATTGGCGAGAACAAAACTCGATGAAGAGGCCAATAAACTATGTAAGCCAAGAGGAGAGGTTGGTCACACCGTCGCTGCAAGGCGTCCGTAGTTGGTCGGAGTGGAGGTCACAGGTCACTATGACCTCACTGATGTTGCCGTGAGCGGTGAGCCTTTCATCGTGGATACACGCAGCTAAGCACAACGCTAGATCGTAGATAGTACATAGATACAATACCATGGAGCACCATGAAGACGTCGAAGTTATGACTGTCCTTTTTAGTCCAATCGATGAAGCAGCCTCAAAGCTGAGAGCGTTGCGGAAGGCACATCTCTCGGTCCTTTCTGTGGCCTCTCTCTGGATGGCACCAGAAATACTGAGAGCAGTTCTACAGTGCTGCCCAAAAACAGCCAGCCATGGAGCGTGCTATGAATTGCGATAACGGTGCGTTTACGAGGTCAAAGTTGCGGAGCGTTTTACACTGTATTAGCTCGTGAACAATAATGCTTTGAGAGGCAAGCATATAGAGTTTTATGGTGAAATAGTGAACGTTGAACTCAAGAATTTAATTTCGCTTCTTATAAACTACAACGCACAGTGGCGGAGTGTATCTAGATAACAAATAACAATGTAATATTATTTATTGATTTTCTAAATCGTCTAACTAGGGTGAAGACAACGGCAATCAACTTCATTTGCTATGGGGTCGTCAGCGATTTCTGTTTATAAAAGTTGCTTATAAATGTCTTTGGATCCATTAACATATTGGACTATGCAAATATCATGAATCATGTCAAAAGACAAAAGTCAATAGGTTTGTAATGTATCATGGAACAAACGAGTATGTTCATTTATAAACAAACGAGTATGTAGACTGTACAGAGCTTAATTGTACCGCCACCAAATCCCCTTCCTCCCACAAAGCACATGCTCCTTTTTGTAGTTACCATAACACTATTGAACGCTTTCTTTTGCATCACTGAGTGTTTTGGGAGCAATATCCGTTTTCACGACGGCCATCTGGTACACATTTGGTGCACATCTGGTGCAGATTAGGTGCAAATTTGGTCAAATTAGGTTCAGTGTGTCTCTTAGTAGTTAGTAGCTGTCAGCTATGGGTTGTTATCACTAGCATTTTAAAACATAGGACATGCCTGCATCCGCCGCTGAGCAACGTGATAATGGAATGTAACACTTTTATAATTATCCATCCATATATTTCACCAAAAACAATCAAAGCATCCGGGCTGATTATATGGTTCCATGGTAAGGTATCAATGTTTATCGAAAGGCCAGGGGAGGACGCCTAAGGGGACCTGGGAAGTGAGCTAACTGGATTTCATTGTTGTCTTTTCTTAACAATCGTCGGGTGTTTCTGAGCGAAGGTTACAAACTAAGACTGTTTCTTTAGGTTTTCGATATTTATCATGCTTCACAGTCGCTCCTTCGTGCGTCATATCAAACGTTGAACGTTACACGTATAGCCTCTCACCACAAAATACAGATAGATGGTGTCTTTAAAAGATAGCAACTGATGGTAGGGCAATAAAATGGCTTATTTTCAGATACGCTTAATGACAGCCTAATACTTCCTTGCATGATAGCGTCAAACAATCTTAAGCTCCTTCCAAGGCTAGTTACTGTAAAAACACACCTGGCATGGCATGATAACGAAGGCTCGTTGTCGCTATATCAGCATGTCCAAATGGTGGAGAGTCTTAACCGAAGTAATGAGCGCTATGTTTTCGCTTTACTTAGTAATCTACAGCAAAGATATTCGGCTTTGTACTTGTGCAGATATTTTAACGACATTGTGGCGCTTGAGGAGCCATGAAGCTAAGCCTACCTTTTCAGAGAACGCATAAATTCACGTAAATATTCACGGCGCCTTTATGGACAACTACAGATAAAAATTATTGTGCGCTGTTCTGAGTGAACGGCAATTCCGCTCGAGCGTGCGTAATAAGGTACCGAGATGCTTTTCAAATAAAATTTGCCTTCCACAAGGGACTACTGCAAAGGTTTAAAGGTTAAATATGCCCTACAATGCCAAAACATTGCGAAACACTGGTAAAAAATTACCTAAACGTGCCATCGATCTTACGATCTTATGCAGCCCATGCATGACCCGCGGATAGGAAACACAGCATCATGCATGGTGAAATTTCGAGAAAGTTTTCAATGCACTTCGCCATTACCAACATCGTTGTAAAAAGCCAGTGTGAGAATGCAGGCCGCCCCTGCAGATTCAAACAGTAGGTCTGCTCCGGCGCAGACAGGACTGGTTTTGCAAGCAATGCTCTCACGCAAACGGTAATCTCAGTATAAATGATATTGAACAATGTGAGCTGCATCGTTCTTTTTAGCGAGCCGACTTGTGCTTGAAGCTTGAAGTGCGTCATTCGCTGGCTGTGTGGCGTCACAGGGGCCTTATCTGCACGGCCCTGAGCCCACACGCGAGCGACTCGCCGAATGGCGTGACCGAAATGTCCGCAGCCATGTTCAGTTTTCAGGCTGAATGTCAACGCGGCCGACGCCGGCCGCTCATTCCAAGGAAAGGCTTTGCATGTCACATACAAACAAGAGCGTCTTAGCTGCACCCAATTCACGTAAGCGCCGACTTGTGCATATTAGATGCCGGATAGCCTTCTGTGGCGGTCAAAACTTGTGCAGCATGGAGCTCTCGCGCCGGTTAATGCCAGGGTATTGCTTTAATGTGAGCGAGGACCATTTGAGCCGGCTAGCATTATTCCCGGCATAGTTCCCGACCTGAAACCCATCATTAATGCAACTCTTAAGGGTCATGCCAGCTCAAAGATGGTCTCTAGGGTGCTAGGAAGCCTTAACTTGGGCGATTGCAAATGCCTGGCTGACGGTTCAAGCTCAATTTGCCTGCATACATATAAGCAGTGGGTATGCTGTAAAACTTTATATTTTAATTCGTTTCATGATGATAAGCTTAAAAAGTAGCATTCAATGCCTACTTTTGGAAAGATAAATAAGCACGGAGCGTTATTTCCTATCTGTATTATACTGGTCATCAGTTTAATTGCGGCGAGCGGTGACGGTGTTCCTGAGCCGGCCGGTCGGCGCAGCACGCCCCCGGCTCGGCGGCCATTTTGAGTCGGTCGGCCTGGCGCCGACCTGCCGTGCTCGCTGCAAGGTGCGGCCGACCAGAACCCGTTCGCGAGCTCCACCCGAGCAGTGCAGGCGCCGACCGCGCCGCCGATAAGCCGCGCCTTATTCGGCGCGCGCGGGCCCCCAGTGCGGCGCGGCGGCCGGTGTGAGCCGGCGTGACGTGACGACTGGATTTTCTGATACAGGCGCTGCTCAGTGCTCAGTGCTCGATGTTCATGGCCTGGATGCTGGTGGCGGCGGGTCGGATGGTGACGGGGACGCAGGTGACGGCCGTCGGCCAGTTACGCCAGTTCCACCGCCAGCGGCGGTCGCCTCAGTCGGAAACTTACTGAATCCTGATAGGTGTAACTATGCAGACAAATGCAATCGGTTGTTGGCTAGGCTTACAAACGGCGGATGATGCGGATGGAAGCAGCATTTTGAACTTCTAACATTCTTGATAAAATCAGTCAATGCGTTTTAGCGTGAAAAACAATTCGAGAATATTTTCAGCACTCTTGCCTCTGGGCGGGATGCACAACAGATAAATTATAAGGAGCTTTGACGCAAAACAAAAATGGAAATTATGCCTCTCCCTCCCTCCAGCTGTTCTACCACAGCTTTGTCATTATTCTTATGGCTATTTTCAGTGGCATACCTAATACCTATGTTTCTTATTGGCTCTTGGCTATTCAATGTTAATGTTGCGAGGTCTTTTGCTATGCTGTTGGCTATTCAGTGTTAATGTTTCGCGTTTTTGCTGTGTGCGCTACCAATTCACGCCAGCACTACGAACAATCCAGCTGAATGCTCACCATGAAACATTGATCGAGCCGCTGACGTCACCCTACCTGTGCGTCTCCTTTCAACTCGTGGCCTGCTGACGTCACTGTGGCTCTATTGACTCGGCTGACGGCGGCTCTGTAGTCTCTGCATACAGCAGGTTAATGCCGCAAGGTATTGACCGTCGCCATGGCAGGCACACGGTGTGTGCTCATGCGACGTGGGCGGCAACAGAGGCAACGCGAATTTGTCAGCGTCAGCTCGCACATTTAGTATTTTGGGAATAGCAGAGGACAATGGTCGCGGTGCTGACGTAACGGTTGTGTTCCTTTTCAAAGACAAAATATTTTACTTCTCTTATTATCGGTTGTTTACCTTACAAGTCACAGTTCAATTAGATAAGCAGCGCTGATATTTCTGAGCGTTATTAAATGTAGCAAGGAATGCAGCTGCAGGTGCAGCCACTTCTAAAGCCCCTTGTTACCCACGAACACAAAATGCCGCGGTAATTTTTACGGATATCGCAAATACCTTCGTGAAAACACAGTCGTGCAGCCAAAGACGTGGGATTTCTTCGACTGATATGTCACGCTATTGCGTTTTAGAACGTACTTGAAAACTGGATCCACTTGATCAGTGGGTACTAAAAGAGCCAAGTAGAGGTAGAGGCAAATAAATGATCGCCTTCTGAAACACGGGCGTAGGAACGTCATGAAAAGTGGGTGGGCCACCCTGTCAAGGGGCCTCCTTTTCCAGGGGGCCTCCTGCTTTCAGGGGCCTCCAACTTTTGCCTCGTCCTGCTGGCTGCTTTCAAGTATGACCAACAAATCTAGCTGCTGAGATCGGGCAGATGTA